TCATTCAAGCTCCTGTTCTAAACCTAGGTAACGCAATGAACTGGAACGACCCAAAACGCGTGCAAAATAAACAATTCCAATCCAGCCGTGCAGGGTTGACAAATTGCTGCGCACTTGCGTAGGAAAAACATTGTTATTTGGTTTCGGCCCGCTCTTCAGGTCATTGTTTTGCCAAACAAATATTCTCGAATATCTTCACGAGTCAGAACTGAAGTGAACCGCGTGACGCATCCCACAAGGGTTGACAACAATGGAACCAAACTTCTATTTTTCAAGCATCGTGGGCCTCAGTTGTTCGCAATTTGCACGTACCCCGTGGGTTCTAGGCAAAAACTGGTCGATCGTGTGGACATAAACACCTGTCGTGACAACGTGAAGCATACGCCGATCACCCGTTCGTCGGTGTCCAGACCAAGAAGTGATCGGGCGAGTCATGCTGTCTGTCCTACTGCTATTCCTGGTTCGTTGATTTTTCGCTTACGCATCGTGCTCACAACTTTTCCGAGAGGTTTCCATTTCCATGCGAGGTTTGGTCAGGAATTAATTTCGGCCTGCTGGGAAATAAATGATCACAACTAGCATTTTTTTGACTTAGCAATTAGTAATGGTTTGCGAGATTGAGGATGTGACTGATTGTGAGCTGAAGTGGCATATAAGAAACCGATGCAATGACAGCCGCTGTAGTCTGCGTGTTCCAGAGAGCTCATTAGTTGCGAATCGTTTCCTTGTTATTTCTATATGCCACTTCCTCGTGTTTTCGAAGAAACAAACTTTCAATAACAATTTGCAAACCTTTCAAGTTGGATATTCAAGGCACGGAGACCATTATCTAAACCTTCAGCCCTTCGAGATAATACTGGTAGCAAGGATAAAGGATAAAAGGATAAAGCATTTGCCGTTGATCAATCCCTTTTTGGGATGCGGCACGCATTCTACTTCCATTTGTACATTCGTAGTGGCGTTTGAATGCGATGTGGCCTATACAATGACTTGCGGGGGCCAGCCGATGTACAAGTCAGTGTTTTTATCCTCCCAGACAAGTCTGGTACCAATTAACCGACCCCGGAGGGATGGAAGGCTTGGTTGGCCCGGGCGACTCACGACCAGGATTTGATCCCCGGACCGCTCGCGTGGTAAGCGTGCCACTTGTCCACTACACCACTTCCGCCCTGGTAGCAATCATCCCCATAAAATGGGGAATTTTGAATTTTACTCTGATTGATGGTCTTCGGAATGGTGAGGGACCTAGGTGGCTCATCTGGGCATCTGGAAGGCCATATCTACCTTTCTTAAAAGTCT